CCAGTTCTGCCTCCAGTTCAAGAATGCGTTGTTGGCTGGCCACGTCAGCAGAAGGTTGAGTCGGGAGCCAAGATTGGAGAAGTTGAGCAACATCTTTGGCCATGTTTTGGGTGGCCTCCTTTTGGTTGAGACATTGGCCTGCTGAACGAGCTCGGAATGTAGCGAGTTTGTCCAAGTCTACATTGCGAGTGCGTAGTTGTGATACCAATTCGGCCACAAATACTGTAGTGCCTATGTTGTCAAAAGGAAGGACGAAGGTTTCTCTTCCGTATGCAACTCGGCGAAGCCAAGTATTGTGTAAGCCCTGGTACAAGAACTTCCAGAGTGGGACTTGTAAAGGATCCATCCCTTCAATGTCCTTGTAGCTTGAAAATCTGCTCTGTCGGATTCTAGAAGGGAAGTCCAAACCATTGATCTTGTTGGAGTCGTGGAAGTCGACATCAGGTTTCCAATTCTCAACTGGTGGGATTTCAATTGGTCTGCATGTATATCCTTCGTTGACAGAAGAACTTGCTCCTGGGGATGACATAGGTCTCGGTGATCTCGGTGTAAAAGGGTGACGTTGAGGTGCAAAACTGGCGTTGTTGGGGGGTGTCTGTGAGCTCGGAGGCGGCGTGGGCGGAAAAGGTGCCGTAGGCGAAGTCCATGGTGGGCGTGTTGGGAACGATGGAGACGTAGGCGGTGGAGGCGGTATTCCGGATGGGTTCCAAAAGGGTCGATGGGTCGTCATGGCATAGTGCATCGGGCCACGGAACGCCGGTACTGCTTGGTGCCAACCATGTGGATGACGAGGTGGTGTGCGCGAGCGATCCGGCTGGGAAGGAGGAATTCCATTCATATCCGCGCTGTATTGGGAGATCAGGTCCTGGGACGCCATGAGGTAGAGAGGGTCACGAGACAATAGGTCAAAATGCGCTCGAACTGCCGAATGAAAGCTGCGAGAAATGTCAGGGTGAGACAAGGATAGTGTGCGAGTGAAAAAGTGAAACATAATACGAGGTTCCAGTGTGTGAAACATAAGGTGAAAACGAATCTTGCGCAAGGATCCACAATATGAGCATGCAGCGAGTCACAAACCTTTTGAGGAAGAAGTGGCAGCAGTACCGAATGTCGGGAGAAGCATTGTTACTCCAAAATAATCGGGCAGGGCCACTAGGCTCACTGGATCGCCGACGTAGAATAGTCGATACTTGTTCTGGTACTCCTCAAGGGTAAAGAATTCACCAACGAGATTTGGAGTGGTGGGTCGAATGTCGAGAACGAGGTCGGCCTTCATGGTGCTGGTCGCGAGAATGGTCGTCATAATATGAGGATCGGCGATCTCGGCGGCTGTAGGTGGAATTGTCCCAAGCAGCATTGTCATGCCAAGATCGGCGAGCATAGTCCCGGGAGCCAGAGGTAGCAGTCTCGCGGCGGCTCGGTGTATTGTGAGAGTCGTCCGGGGCCGGCTCCGAAGGTTCTGGGGCGTCGGCAGAAGGGTCAGGTCGTACATGGACGTGCAGAATCATCAGGAGGTTCCGAAGGTGCATTGGTCTCCGCAGTCTGGTGTGTGATCAAGCCCGGGAAAACCTGGTGAGTGGAGGCGACGTAGCATATAGATGCAGCGCTTGAGTTCATAGCCGTTGCATTGTCTTTGCCCTTGGCGATGCCCGCAAGGTTGCACAAGCGTTGGATTTGGTCATTTCCTCCAGCTAGGGCACGGATGCATTTGGGTGAGCGGCATATGGCCAGCAGGCCTGATGGGTTTTGTCCTTTGCCTATTTTGTAAAGCTGAGATGTACAAATCCTGACAGCATAGCCGGGTAGGTTGTCGGTGTCTGCGATCTCAGAGGACATTCCGAAGAACCCGTAACACGGGTATTGGGTCGGTATACCGGCTTCGTTTTTTGTCCAAGTTGCCGGGCGGATGCAGTCTTCAGCAAGAATTTTGGCAACTGATTCCCAACTTGTCTTGTGGTAGATCAGGTAGGTGCCCATGTGTTCGCCACGGTAGATTGGTTTCTTCTTCAATCCTGTGGGAACCGTGATGGTCAGCAAGTTCTCTGGTTCAATATAGAAGGCTTGTGTTTGCTTTGCAAGTTCGATGTCCAGTAAGTCGGATTGTGCAAAGGCCCTGGCAATATTCCTGACGGTGGCTTGGCTGGCTTTGATCCAAATACGATGGTTGTTGACGGTGCGGTATGGTTTAGCCAACTGTTCGAACATCGCGTCCACAAACTGGTTGAAGAGCTGCAAGATAGCCGGGGTCAATGATTGGCGTAGAGGAACAACATGATCGGGGCCAAGCTCGGTCAGGCATCGAACTCTATGGGGGTCATTGGCCGCCGCCACCATTTCATCGAGGTCGATGTCATTCGTGTCAAACTTGGTGAGCGAAATGGTATCAGCAACCTCAGAATTTTCACTGTCGCCGTCCGGAACTCGGAAGGACACCGCGCCGAGTGGTGCTGAAGTGTGGGTTGGTGGGTTGGTTTGTGGTTCCGATGGTGGTGGATCAGTAGGAGAATTGGGTCGAGCAGTGTGGTGGTCGTAGGCGTCGTTGTAGTGGCTTTCGTTCCATGTACCCCAGGTGTCATCAGCATCAGGAGTAGGAATGTAGTTCGGATTGGATGGGTTTGCAGCAGGTCGAAGTATGACTTCACGGCCTCGGGATCGGTGACGTGGTGTCGCGGAGCGTGGGCGTGGATGGGAGCGGTGACGTCGAGGGACCACAGGAGAGCGGCGTCGTGGTGGTGAGCGTCGTCTGTATGGAGATGGTGTTCTGCGGCTCTTGTCGGTTTTCGTAGATGATCGATGACGAGGGAGAGGAGAACGAGGTCGCTCTGTACGTGGAGGAGAATGGCGAAGGCGATAGGAATGTACAGAAGGTCGATGGGAACGTGATCTTGGAGTTCGGGATCGTGGTCGGCGTGTTGGTGGTGGTGGACCGTGTGGTTGGTGAGGAGGAGCGATGGTTGGAGCTGGGACAATGCGATGGTCCTGAACGTCCGGTTCGGTGGGTCTGGCCTTTGGTGCAGGTGGAGGCGTGGCGATCAGTGGTGGTGTAGGTGTAGGTGGCGGTATCTGTGGTGTAGGATTCGGTGGATGTTCATCTTGTTGAAGAAGGAGTTGACGTTGTTCTTGTGCCCGTTGAGAATCCATGAGTAATAGTTGCTGAGCTTGGATAAGTCGAACAGATTCGGCCAGTTGTTGTGCGGTGGAACCCAGGGATGCAAGTTCAGGTGGAACGGATGAAGTCGGTGCTGTCTGAGGTGTCGATGGTGTAGCGTGAGGAGGGGTTTTCGGAGCTGGTCTGCGCGGTCGATCCGGTCTTTTGTCAGAGCGATGCCTGGGAGCTGCTTTGACTGCTGGGGGCCGTGGTGAAGGCTCATTTGGAGGGATCGTCGATGCGTCCATCTGTAATGGAGGTTGAATGTGGTGAGGTGGGTATGGAGAACTGGGCAAAGGAGTCGGTGTCATAGTCGATGTAGGTGGTGTAGTCGATGTAGGGGATGGAGCCGAAGTGGAAGGCCACGCGGGTGGAGCGGTAGGTGCCATAGGAGATGGAAAAGTCGACGGAGCGGTGTGTACCATAGTTGGTTCAGGAGCCAAAGGTGAAGGCATGGTGGGTACAAGTTGTGGACCTGGTACTGCATGAGGAGCCGAAGTCAATGAGGTGAACGGCAACGATGTTGGGGCGGATGTAGACGGCATGAGCGAAGCGGAGGATGACCATGTAGGATGCAAAGCCGAGGGATGTCCAAATAAATGTGCACTCGGTGTCGATTGCGGCCACGTCGAAGATGGGTTCGAAGGCTGTGGTGGAGCAGGCCATGATGTTGGAGTGTTCCACGGATGCATCGCTTCAGTAGGTCAAAACAAAAGTGGACAATTGTAAAAAGTTTCACATACAGGATTCAGTCCCTAACTACCTACAAAATCGTGCAATTATTCCCTGCACCGGGACCGTGGTCAAGTCGTGCCGCAATGGCATAAAACAGCTTTCAAGTTCCAACGAATTAGGTGCACAATATGTTTCACCTCACCAGACAACCATCAAAAGAAAGGATCACCACACCTGAAAGTCGTGTGCCTGCCTGATTTCTCTGTCATGATTTGATGCAACGGTGTTGCAAAGCAGCTGCAAAAAACGGAGGTTTCAGAACATTCGGAATGGCTTCCCTTGAAAGAACGCAGCACTGGGGTCCCTGGGACAATAGGAGCGGCGGGACATCACAAAAGGCGAATAACCGAAAGGCTGGCTGTTGCACTTTACTTAAATGAATTACTGAGTTGAAAAGTGTAAATTCAGAATTCAAGTCTGTCAACACTCACCCTGAAGAGGGTTGCCTCCAATGGCTCCATGGCACCATGTCGGAGCCACCATGGAAATCACACTAGACAAGAATGGATCATTATATGATCCGGCAGGAACTGAATCCTGAAACATGCAAACCAGCCTAGATTATTAGATGAATAAAAGAGCCACATGAGGTACTTCTCGCAAACGATGTAGGGCATCCGAAATTGTCAAACGTAGTCATAACCAGATTCCATAGAGTTTTGACCAGCATGTGGAAATCCAAAATAATGTTTCGGCGATTGTTTCCCAAAATAACCCATAGTTCGTCGGCGACAGGGTCTCGGCGAAAATAAGTCAAAAAACATAATACTGTCGGCGATATGGTTTCGGCGAAAATCTGAGGAAGGTTCTGATGCATGCAATACAGATTGTGGCAACCGTGTAGATTCGAAACAACGCAGTGTAACAGCTTGATCAACAGTTGAAACCAAATTTTGCAGGTACACAGAGTTGATCAGACTCTGCTTCCAGCACAAGTGGATAGCTTCGTTGGGTGCAGTCTCCACTGTGCTCTGCACCCCCCTGCAAATTAGTGAAAACCAATCAGAAGTTTTACATCTGTTCAGATGGTACACACACACACACACTAGACTAGACTAGACTAGACTGGACTAACGCACGCAGAACCGCAGAACCGAAAGCGCGTGCTGCTGCCCAGGCCTTCGTCGAGCAAAATGCCCGCACCGCCTGGGGGCTTTCACGTGACCGGGCACGACCCCCAACTGTACAGAAGGCCGGGTTTCTACAACACAGTCATCCTTGCCAAACATTTGGCGTTGCTGCGACCCCCATTTTCTTTAAAACCACCCGGTTCAATCTTCTTGCTTGCCAGGTGGTGCGGGACCCGCAGGAGCTAGGAGGTGCGGCGGCTGCAGGGCGACAGGTTGACCTGTTGGCAGCCGATCGCACCTCCCAACACCGCGTCGATGTGAAGTACGTCAAGGTCCTGAGCCATTCTAGTCTAATCTAATCTTATTTTATCTTTTATTCTTTATCTTGTTTACCGTGATCTATCTGATTTTTGTTGTGTTTCTTATCTATCTTATCTATCTTATCTATCTTCTCTATCTACGTTAAGTAATCTAACCTAAGCAAAGCCAAAACTAAGTCAATCTAACGCGATCTTATTTTTTCATATCTCTACCTCTCTACCTCGCTATCTCTCTATCTCTCTATTTCTCTATCTCTCTCTATCTATTTATTTATCTATCTATCTGTCTACCCATCTATCTTTACTCATCATCATCATCACCACCATCATCATCACCAGCAGCAGCAGCAACATCAGCATCAGCATGAGCATCATAAGCATCAAAAGCATCAGGGGCAATGGGGTTGGGAAGTTCCATCTACGAGTCATTAGTATAAGTTATTCATAGCGATGTTTAAGTCATCCTGTGACAGAAGGGTTATTCCCAGTTTAGGGTCATCACGGTTGTATCCGATTAAGCCCATGTCTGTTGCTTAAATCCTGATTCTGTTGGTTGAATTCCCATTCCTATTGGTAAAACCTAGGTCATTCTCCAGTTACACCCATGATCTCCCACGGTTCTATGTTTATTGTCCAGTTGCGATGCTTGCGATGCACATCCAAGTAGGGCATTGAAAGAGATTCCCAGCTTCCACTGCTCATCTTCACCAAAATGTCATTAGATTTCCATCTCCCTAAAAATTAGTATAATCCCATGGAATCCGTGGCTATCTGGTTGTGCAAAATATTGTTAAAAACCGGTCGCTTATTAAATTATATGTTAAATCCCCATGTTGTTTGCCTGAACCCATCATTGTTGTGGTGAAATACCATATGCGGTTGTGTTTTGTTGGTGAAATCGGTGAGATTATCTACCAATCATTTGTGTTACATCATCCTCATTCTTGCAGGTGGAAATCCTCATTCATATTTGATGGGGATCAATTCCAGGCAGCAGCAACAATTACCGGTAAAACCAGCAGTTTCCTGCTTATAGTCCCAGCGAAACCAACATTTTGGTTGGTTCAATCCCGATTTTGTTGCTTAAATCTCCATTTTGGTTGCCTCAATCCCTATTTTGGTTGATTAAATCCTTGTTTGTGTCGCTTAAATCACCAGTTTGGTTGCTCAAATCACCGCTTTGACTGCTTAAATTCCCATGCGTGTTGCTTACATTCCTTTCTTTGTTGGTTCATCTCCGTTGGTTTCAATGGATGAAACCCGTCCGTTTCGCTTTCCAAAAGACCCTTCCCCAACGCCCCGCTCTGCTCCGATGGTGTGATAGCAGGACGGCCCTGATGAGTTTCGCCGCGGCTGGCGAGCTGGAGCTGTGCAAGGAGCTGATCAACGCCAGATCAGAGGCAGGAGGAGATGGGTTTGTATGAAAATAGGGTGTGCCCACAAATAGCAAGTTTAAAGGAAAATGATGATAATCCACTGGAAGATGAGGTACACTATGTTCAGACAAATCCAGATTTTCCCAGCTGGTGGAAGTTTTATGGAATATATGGGATTATAATCAATTCTTCCACCAGTTTATCAATACCAGTAGTACCGCACAAGGCGGTGGCGGAAGTTTCAAAGATAGGACACTATAGGAGAGGTGAGTTGTTGTGATGCATGGATGGCAGAGCGACTCCACTGATGGACCGAAAGTTGGTTGGAGTCGTGCTTTTTGGAGTCGTGCTTTTTGGAGTGGTTGCAGTGGTCACCTCAACCACAACTGCTGGATGTAGTGTGGTGTAGCATAGTGCAACGTAATTGTAGTTGGAGCTGCAGTTCTAAATCTAGCTGTATTGTAGCGTACTTCTAGTTGTAGCTGTAGTTGCTGGTGTTGTAGTTGTAATGTTGTAGCTGTAGCTGTAGTAGGTGCTGTACTTGTTGTGGCTGTAGTTGTACTGTAGTGTAGCGTAGTGTAGTGTAGTGGTGTAGTGTGGTGAAGTGAAGTGCAGTGTAGTGGAGTTGTAGTTGCAGTTGTAGTTGTATATTGTAATTGTGGCTGTAGCTGTAGCTGTAGTTCATGTTGTTGATGTTGTTGTAGTTGTTCTGGTTGTTCTAGTTGTTCTCCTTGTAATTGTTGTAGTAGTTGTAGTTGTAGTGCAGTGTAGTGTAGTGGTGGTGTAGTGTGGTGAAGTGTAGTGTAGTGTAGCCGTAGTTGTATGTGTAGTTGTAGTTGTATTGTATTGTT